AATCCCCAGAACAAACTAGATTCCAACTCAGCAGCCAACAGAAATCAAGGCTGTTCCTCTTCTATCTTTCCATACATTGATTTACTCAGTCAGCTCTTAAGAATGCCTATTATGTGGAAGAAGCAGGATAGCAGAGTGTTTAAGAGCAAAGGTTCCAGAGGCAGACTGCTTGATTTCAAATCTCAGCTCTACTAACAACATGGCCTTGACCTAGTTATTTTTAACTTCTTGGTATTTCGGTTTCCTTGTGTGACAAATGAGGGTCCTTGTAGTAATTACATCATAGGATTAAATGAGTTAATATATGTAAACCACACTGAACAGGTTTTAGCACACAGTAAATACCTAATCAATATCAGCGAGGATTAATAATACCTAACTCTATGTAGGATGCTGGGAATACAAAGATTAATAAGGCTCCAATCCTTAAAGAGACTATAGTCTATGGGGGAGACACACATGTAAACAGATAGTAACAAACTGTGTGGTAAGTGATATGATGGAAGTAAGCATGGGATACTGGAGGTACAGAGCAGCAGGACCAATGAACTCTGGCCAGAAAAAGTCACAGAACACTTCAAGAGGAGGGCACATTTCTAATGGGTATTGAAAGAAAAGTGGGAGCTCACGAAGCAGAGAACAGAAGAGGACTTATTTTATAACTCAGTATTTTATATTCTTTTCCCTGATTTCTTTTTTTCCAAACAGCTTTTCTAGAAGCCTAAATGTGTTAACTGGAAGCAGGGAGAGGGGGCCTAGAAGCTCAACAATTTGCATCCTTTTACCTTTCATATGGCTCTTGAGACACTTCTATAAGAACCCCAGGGCTCTACCAAGTACTGTTTGGAAATCACTGCTACAAGCAAAGGACAGTCATTGGAATGCTGAACAGGAAAGTAACACATGAAGGCAACACATTATACTATTGAATATGTTAAACAATATTAAAGGTGCCACTGCCATTGCCACTGTGTTGGTTCAGGCCTTCAATGCTTCACTACTGAGATAACCTACTCACTGATGTTCCTACCATTAGACTTTCCTTCATCTAATATACCTTGTATGCAGTACTATTTCCAAAACACACAAGGAATAATATGTCACTTCCATGCCTAAAAACCTCCAATGCCTTAAGATAAAGTGGGTTTCTCAGCATGGCATACAATGTCCCTCACAATTTGAACACAGCCTACCATTCTGGTCTCATCTTTTACCATTTCCTATAATTTTTGTTCATATATATTTTATCATGGTGAAATAATACAAAACATTCCCCAATTCAACAATTTCTCAATTAATATATTCTCTGTTCTATCCAGGGAAAATTTCATATTCTGGAAGGTTGGACAATCTACTTCCATAGTGATACTGCCTCGGAAACCCAAGGAGGGGTTGTCAAGAGTTGGGTCTGACTCGATGGTACATAACAACAACAGTCTCAAATATATCACACTCTTTTCTTGGTGCTTTCACATCTTTGTAAATATCACTCCCCCTGCCTAGAATGTCTCTTGTCATAAATTCCTATAATCTTTCAAGACCCAGATCAAAACTCACCTCTTTTGTACAGCTTAGCTATAGGAGAGACAGTATAATATAGTAGACTATGGAGCTGGACTGACTGAGTTAAAATGAGGACTAAAATGTAGCTGATATTCACTAATATAGCCACATCAAGTGTTAAAATAATTGAAATATTTTTATACTGGTTGGCAAACAATTTGTTGCCTTGTGTCTCTTGATTTTCTTCTTCAGGACTCACTGGACTTGCCCAAGATTGAAAGGTCAGTTCCTGGCTTAGCATGGAGCCTCCAGGACTGTGGCTCCTGAGTGCTAGCCACATCTATTATGTAGTAGTTATATATTTTAAATACCACCCCTAGTTCTCAAAGCTTACCTTGGTCTCTCATTAGCTGTATAAACATGGGAAGTTATTTAAATTCTCAGTGACTTAGTTTCTCAACTGTAAATAGGGATAACAAGCCCTCAATAAACTCTAGCCATCATTAGTATATACACTTTTTCATCATCACTGTCTCTTATTGAATGCTTTCTCTGTCCCAGGAAATTTCATTATGACTTTTCTAAATTCACAAAACTGTAGGGCTCTTTCTTAGCACACAGAGGTTTTCCCATCAATAGCAGCATCTGAATTTCTAGGTAGGAGGGATAGCAAGGTGGCTAGAAAGAGGGACTGCATTTGCACAGGGAACTTACTCTTTTTTACTTTTATTACATGTTGTTGTTGTTATCATGTGCTGTCGAGTCGGACTCGACTCATAGTGACCCCTCCGTGGGTTTCCAAGGCAGTATCACCATGGAAGTACATTGCCCCATCTTCCTTCCAAAGAGTGGCTGGTGGGTTTGAACCGCCAGCCTTCTGGTTAGAAGTCAACTGCCTTAGGCACTATGCTACTAGAGCTCCTTATTACTTGTTAGCATCAATAAAAATACAAAGATCTCTAAAGTTTATTTTATTCACAATTTTCATAAAATTGAGATAGCACAAAATATTATTTTGATTTGCATTGGAGTAGAAGGCTTAGAGGGAATTATCCCTTCAGAATAGAGCACTAAAATCATATCTCTGAGTCCCCCCATTATATAACATGGACAGTTGCTTTCACTACTCTATTCTCTAGGTCAGTGATTTTCAACACTATTCCAGTAAGCTCCCTCAGGGGCCAACTTTTCTGAGAGGACTGTAAATGGCAGGGATGGGAAGAGGTCAGGGTTAGAAGCAGGCCCACCCTTCCCCGCTGCCTCAACCAGAATAACTCTGTATTAGTTTGCTTTGCAATATTGGGCTTTGAGGTAAACTTTCCTTGGATAAAGGTTACTGTGAATATTTTGGATTGAATTGTATACCTATAAAAGATACCTTGGAAGTCTCAGCCCCTGTACCTGTGACTATGACTCTGGGAATAGGGTTTTTCTTCTTTTATGTTAATGAGATCATACCAAAGTAGGGTGGGTCCTAAACTTAATCCTTTCTGAGTGGCCTCTTATAAAAAGGGA